CACCAGAACCCCTCCACACAAACCCAGCACAGATGGGCAGAGGTGCTGTGACGTGCCACCACTCTCCTTGCTAGCTGGTGGCAGGCTCCATGGCTCCGATCCAGCTCCTGGCCATGCTGAGGATGACTCCCAGGCTCTGCCACATCCTCCCAGGCAAGCCGATGTTGCAGATTCTTCCACAGACATGCCTGCTCTGGCTCTAAGCGAGGACCTCAGCCCTTGTGAGCTGGGCAAGGCTTCACACCGTGAGGTGGGTTCACTGTTGCATCTCTTGCAGAGGAGATGTTCTTGCTGCGTTCCAGCTCACACCCCTTTCCTGTTCTGCAGGTGAGCTAGCGAGCCCACATGGGTTAAGGCGAGGGGTTGCTCTGCGTCTCAAGAGGAGCCCGGACACCTGCCTGCCAAATCCATGCCAGCATCAGGGGGACTGCCAGGTGATGGAGGACAGACCAGTTTGCAGCTGCAAACCGGGCTTCACAGGGGCATTCTGCCAAGGTAGGGCTGGGGATGCTGGTGACTTCCCAATCTGTCCATGGGGACTAGAGGGAAGGGTGGTGGGCACGGTGCACTGATGTTACCAGTGCTCTTCACTGCAGGCTCCAGGAGCATGTCCAGCTCCTGTTTCAGGTGCATTCCCCTCTTCTCCAACATGTCCTGACTACACGTTGGTACATGACCTAGTCACAGGCTGTTTCCTTCCCTCCCAGAAGTCTGAATTCCTGTAAGAAGGAGACCTCATCTGTCAAGAAGCCATGGTATAGCCATGCCAGGGCAGCAGGGCATGCTGCCGAGCACAGCTGCTGTCTTGGCGCAACCACACACGCTCCAGCATGGCTACAGTGAAGGCTCCTTCCAGACAGTGGCCAAACACTGTGTCTTCTTCATCTGAAAGTGAGGATCGCTGTCTGCCTGGTGCCCTTGGCAGACTGCAGTGGTTCTGTAGACAGTCCTCGAAGGGGGCCAGGCCCATGGCATCTCCCTGTGATGTCTTAGCCTTAAGGACTGTGTCTGTTCAGAGCAGCGGCAGCCATGGACTTAGGCAACCAGTACAAAACGACAGACCCCCATTAACCTCTGCGCATTCCCAAAGGTTTGTCTTTTGTCTCTGAGGAGCCCTACCAGCAGCTTCCAACAAAGCTCAGATGAGGGTCTGTTGAGCTCGGTGGGCCTGTGCCATCCCATAGCTGACCTAGGTAGGGCTCCTTCAGGCCTCTTCCTTATTGCTATTGCAGATGGCTTTTTCCCCCAGATGTGGTACTGAAGCTGGCCTGCGAGGAAGACCACATGAAGATGATGGTGAGGAAGGAGGTGTTTGAACTCTTTAAAATCCACCGGGAGCTTGTCCACTTGAAGAACCAGGCGTGCAAGGTCTCAGAAAGGGAAGAAGAGGGCGAGCTGTTTTTTGCAGCCACTCTCACAGGTGAAAACCACACTGCCTGTGGGTCAGTAATTCAGGTGAGGATCCAGCAGAGCCTCTGCACAGCTCCGAAGCCGTGAGAGGAGCAGACGCACTGAGTGGGGACAAGAAGGGGAAGCCTCAGAGGCTTTTCTTTTTCTATCTGGGTGCTGTAAAGTTCTCGTTCTCCTTGGAAGGCTTCCCTGGAGGCTGTCAGAAAGCTCTCCTGCCTCCACCAAACCCCTGCTGGCAGCACATCTTGTCTTATTCAGCAGATGATGGAAGTCTTGCTGTGCCCTTTGCTAGCTGATAGCAGCCCTTCTGGCAGCACCCTCTGAGCTCTGCAGCCCTGGCTATAGCACCTCACCCCCTGCCTGATTCATGGGTCAGGGAGGGTGCAGAGGAACTGGAGCTCCAGCTCTGCGTTGCACAGAAGGGCCCTCACCTGTGGTCACTCTGCTGACTCCTGCCTACTCTGGTGATGGTTGCCCGTAGCCCCTGGACACGGAGCTTGAGCAAAAACCCCAGCAGACATCCAGGAGGCCTGGAGCAGCTAGAACTGAGTTGCACCATCTGAACTGGAGCTTGGAGCTCCATGTATGGGCTTAGGCGTTGTCTGGAGACTTGGTTTCTGTGTTGTTCCAGCAAAACAGCTCCCATGTGTCGTACTCCAACGTCATTGAGTCAGAGCGGGAAGCGCGCACGGCCGTGATCTCCCGGAGTTTTCAGCTGGAGCTGCGTTTCTTCTGCGTCTACGCCTACGAGCAGGTGGTGAAACTGCCCTTTGCTCTCACTGCTGTTGACAAGTGAGTGGTTCCTCTTCACCTTGCTGTTGATGTGGTATCTGTGAGCTTGCAGAAAAGTAGGTGCCTTCAGTGAGGTGATGTGCCAAGGTGCTGGGGAGCCACTAGGGAGCTCGGAGAGCAGTGCCACATCGGGGCACCTCCCTTTCTCTTCCCTACGTAGTTTTTCAACACAAGGTTTGGGCCTGGGGCAGGGCCAAAGAGGGGCACGCACAATCCACCTTTCTCCTATGCTCACTGCTTGAGACCAGCTAGCCGAAAAATAAAGGGTGGGAGCTGGAAGATGCCCCCACAAGAACCCTGTGGAGGTGCAGATTAGGACTCCCTAGGTTGCCTTTCTCACAGCCCTCGCTGACCAGCTGATCAGTGGGAACCCCTGGAGCTCCCTGCCTCTGTCCACACGGATGTACCAATGGGGAGGCAGCTCGGGGCCCAGCCCCCACGAGGCTCCAGCCAGGAGCAGAGGCACATCTGGAGTCGTTGCACGTGCACCGGTGGCCTGACTGGTGCTACGTCCTTCCTGCCTTCTTGTTCTGCTCGTGAGCTCTCCTCCTCTCCTCTCAGGCTGGTGCAGTTCGTGGTCAGAGAAGGGCACTTCAATGTCAGCATGAGACTGTACAAGACTCCCTCCTACCTCCAGCCCTATCACCTGCCGAC